CACAATATCTTTCTCAATTTTTTTTTTTTAAATTTGAATTCTAATTTTCATTCAGCCGCCATTTAAAAAAATCCTAAAAATATTAACTTTGAAAATTTTAGACGGGAATTTTAATAATATTTCAGGTAAATCACTTTTCATATGATATAATTATAGCTTATCTAGGTATATATTTAAATAAAAGTGATCCTCAAGATTTTATAATTTTGTTGTTTTTGGTCAGTTGGTGATTTTGTTACTATCAAATCAACCTGATTTTGTTGACATTTAAGCCATGTGGATGATTAAGTCTTTTGGTTAGTATGATAAATTTTATAATACTTGATAACTACAATATTTGGTAAAAATTACTGTAAGCTTAACATTAATTTGCATTCAAATATAGATTGACTATACGAAGTGGAATAATTATTTTGTGCATCGTATCAATAAATCAAATTTGAAATGAAAATAAAATATATCTATGAGAATAATAGTGAAATATGCTATAATCATTTCATGAAATTAGTCAAAATTAGAGAATTACAATTTTTATGTTTTTTTAAAATAAAGCTATGAATTTACTTAACATTATAGAATTTCAATTTTTTTACGTTATTTTAAATAAAGCTAATATATTATATTGTAAGTACGATTAATAAACCTTACACAATTTTAGCGTTAGATTAAAAAATAGTGAATTTTTCTTACAAAATTCTACCAAGTGTAATTCAGGGCGCATATTATAAGCTATACAAAGATCAATTTATAGATAGATTTTAAAATATAAAAATAATAAAAGTTTATCACACATATCTTTAATTCCCATAAAAATTAGCCGTCCAACATCAAATTTCACTAATTCTAAAGTGATAGAGACAATATATTAGCTAAAAAACAATGTTATTTTCGTATGGAGAATATTTTTTGTTGGAAAAAAAAAATATTATTTGCAAAATTTTATGGATAAAAATTACTTATTTATCAGGATAAACGTTATTATTTATCACATGCTTATTTTAGCTAACCGTATTATATGAAGAAAATATAATATATGCTTATGATATTCAAATTTCAAAATTCA